CCCTCCCATTTCCTTCTAGTCTTCCTCTTAAATCTATAGCCTCTTTTTCTTTGATTATTGCTGTTTTACACACACACACACACACACACACACACGCAATTATATAAATGCAACTTGCTGAGTCTGTGTTCCCTTGTGTCTGTGTTCCCTTGTGCAAATGATTTGGGCACTGATTACTTTGGATTGGATACCCAATTGAGAGGCTTATCCCTAAGAATGGCTAATTCTCCCTCTCTCTGAAGTCATTAGTCACTTATGGAACTCCACGAGCTTGTGCCCCTTCTGCATCTAGAAGGTTTACTGATATTTCCATTGCATGGTCTTGTTTAGACAGTCATTTCTAGGAGGTATTAACTTCTTTTGAAAAGTTCTCCTTAAATATTACTTGTATGTGTGTTCGCATGCTCTACTCACTGCCTACACCTGGAGGTCAGAGGCAGCTCCTAGGAGTTCTTTATATCATGTGCAATCTGGATAAATTCAGGAGTCAGTCTTGTGGTAAGTGCCCTTATCCCCCCCAACCCCCGAGCCTTCTTGCAGGCTTGTACATTCACTTCTTCAGTTTGTCTTTACAGTGTATGTTATTTTTTTTAAAAAAAAAAAACTTGGAGGTCTCTTCAGACAGTGAAACGAGGGATTTCTTCAGATTAGTGATGTCAATATCTAGCTGTTTGATGTTCTTGTCAGTGGCTCTTCAAAGGTCTGAGTAGTATAAGATTGGAGAGCAACATCTGGATTAGAACTTCTAATAGCAGACATCACGGGTGATTCATTTTTACCTGGAAAGGAAAAAGAAGGAAATTCTCAGGGAGATTTCTCTTCCCTGGATGTAAATTGTTATTCATCTTATTTATGGTTGGGCCTGGCTTTGTCGGGTATCTATTTATTTCATTAATCTTTTTGGTAACCGGTTAGCTGTGCCTTCTGTGGTATCAGGCAGGCATATCAGTCCTTGGCCTGTAAGGGAACTGAGTCTGGGCCATTCCCTTTAAGGGTAAGAGGGTCCTTCTCCATACCTGTGGCAAAGTTTTGTTGATCTCGGTGGTGCCAGAGGCAATAAGGATCGCAAAGATCCTTATTGGACTTGATTTACTCTATTACAATAGAAAAGGCTGTGTACAGCTCTTGACTGTGTACAGCCCTTAAAGAAGAATGTTGCCTTTACATAGACAAGACAAGGAGGGTTAAAGAGAGTGTGAAATAGGTCAGTGAAGGCTCCTAGAAAAATCAGAGAGAGAAAGAGACAGATGAATGCTGGTACAAGAATTGGTTTTCAGCCTCTCCAAGGTTGTCAACCCTATTTCCTCCCATCTTGGGACCATTATTTGGGTTCTTTTTGCTTATTTCTGCTGGTCCCTGGCCCTCAAATAGGTGGACTAACTCTATGATACAACAGATAAATAAGTTGGTAGCAAAACCTACTCAGATACATTATTGTAAGTTAGCTATGGAGGACCACGAGACACAAGATGAGGTTGTTACTTTATACAGGGTGTTTCCAAACCCCATCTCCACCCAACCTAAAAGGGGGGACTTCTGCCCCTAGACCAAGCAGAGAGGGGCCACCCAGAACCCCCTCTGACAGGCCATCTGAATTCTTGCTTAGGCTCTGAGGCTAAGCATTGCAAGGGAATATAAATAAAAGATAAAAATATCTCTCTGGGTTCCCTGAGGGACAAGCCCGACTGCATAGGAGTTAATGTCAAAAGTATCCCCTCTCCAGGAAAAAGACATCGGGACGGGTATGGCCCTCATGCCTCACTGGACAACGACTGGGGACTGGAGCCATTACAAGGTCCCCTTCAGGTACTGGAGGTCAGGCCTCTATCCCTGCCTTTGCAAGATTAGAATTGCCACAGCCCTTCTATACTTAGAGAAGGGAGGAGATGTCAGGGGCAGCCCTGCTTACACACTGAAAGCCTAAAATCAGCCATAGGCCTAAAATCAGCAATAGGCCTGTTATACATGTATACTAACACCAAGTCTTGGGTCTCAGTGGAATAACATTGAAACAGATGGCTATAAGCTAATGTAAACAGGCAGCTTTTGTGGAAATTTACTAGCCTGAGTAGTCATAGACCTTGTAAATAGGTAGCCTTGGCAGACAATACCAACTTAGATAAGGACAATCGAGTAATAGGCAGTCATAGTGACTTGTCCCCTGAACCTTCACCCAGCCAATACCCGGTTCTGAAAGATATCTGTATTCTCCCTGATCACCCACACTCCAGTGTCATTCCCTTCCCCACATCCTGCCTTTCTGTGTTTATAACCCCTGTGTGAATAAATTACGATTTGAGAAAAAATAAATTATTTAAAAAATAAAATAAAGTTATAAAAAAAAAAAAAACTGGGGCTGGAGAGATGGCTTAGTGGTTAGGAGCATTGGTATTCTTCCAGAGGACCTGGGTTTGATTCCCAGCAACCACATGGAGGCTCACAACTATCTGTACCTGAAGTTCCAGGACATCTAATCCTTTCCTGTCCCTGACTCCTCGCCCCGCAGAAGTATCCAAGTAGGTGCATAGATAGCTGTACACGATGCAGGCAAAGCACTAACACCCATAAAATAGTAATAAAATACTTTTCAAGAGAAAACTATTATTTTTGCTATTTATCCATAGTGATACAACTGGAGTTCACTGGTTTTCACTGATAAGTAGAATTCATTTATGTGAATATGGCATCAATCATTCATTGTTGTCCTGTTGATGGACGGACGGACAACTAACTGGGTCAATTCCAGGACTGGGTTTTTGTTTTTCCTATTAGAAACAGGAAAGCAATGGTGCGGCACTTGCATGGCCTGCGCCAGGCCCCAAAGGAGGGAGCAGTAGCAACTTCACTGAACATCCTTGCATGTGACCTTGGTTTATCAGCTTAGGAATGTCTTACAGACTCTATGACCTGCCCTCACAAATATGTGCACCATTTAACACTAAACTCTTTCCAAAGTGATTGTGCTTTATGGTTCTCTCAGTGGTGTGTATGCATCACAGTTGTTAAAAGGCTATGACTGGGCAATTTAGTGATTCAGTCATCTCTGTACCTGCTGTGGTAGACTGGGCCTGGCAGCTCTTCAAGGCTTAGGCTGTGGAGTCACGCTGTGTGGTCTTGCTCCACTAACAAGTCAGCAGCTGAGATTTGGTAACATCGGTTCCCATTCATGCTCAGCCCTTCTTGGCAAGCCATGGCAGCAGCGAGGCCACTGGGCCAGGCTTGGATCCTTAGGCTGTGGCACTCCACACTCTACACACCACCCGGGGTAGAACTACACACGACGGCCTGGAAAAGCAGTTTCTCGTTTTCATTGTGTCAGACTGAATACAGTAAAAAGAAGAAAGACAAGTAGCTGTAAAAAGAAAAAGCAGAAGTGTAACCCTTGCCCCTCTTTCTTTCTCTGGGGAAATAAGAAGTTGCCAGACCAGGTGCTAAGCAGAGTTGGTGGAGAGGAAAGTCAGCAGGTCAGTTGGGAGCATTTTACCATAATTCAGAAGGAACAAGAAGCTATTATCACCGCGCTGGCCAGATGCTCCTGACCCTTGGTGACATCATACACGTTTTTCCTTATGTTCTTTCCCGTTAAGAACTGTGGGAGGGGTGGGGCAGGGGACTAGATCTCCTTCAGGATATATTGCAAGAAAACTGAGCAGCCTGATTAGGAAAAGCCGACAGTTACAGGAAGCAATCGTTTGCATTTTTCTCATGATGACCTACTCTCCTGCAGAAGGACCTCACCCTTCAACTGCCCTGAAGCATCAGCTCTTGGACATCCGGAAGAATGGGAAATTCAGATATGGCACATAAGTGTGAACAGTCAAGGAACCAGGAGGACAGAGGACTTCTGTTTGAACAAAGAACCTGGAGGGGGAGGGAGGAGAAATCCATTTTTGCTCTCCATCCCTTGTCCTCTCTTCTCTGCCTGGTCCTCCTTCCCCCTCTCCAGCCAGACCCTAGCCTTGGAGCTATAACAGTAGAGATAACTGAAATCTCTTCACTTTGTCCCCTCAACCCCCATGCATTCTCTAGACCCAGGTCGATATTCCTTTGATAATGTTCGGAACAAAATCTCCTTTCACAAAGGTGACCAGGACATGCCAGGTGACAGGAGAGGAGTGGGGGTGGGGTATTCAGGTACAAGAGGAAGAACACCCCCTCTCTTTTTTTTTTTAAATTCTTAACCCTAGGTTGCCTTCTGCTCTTTAACTCAGAGATAAATCAGAAGCTCACAGAGTAGGCAGAGGAATTGGGGGGTCTCGAGGAGGGTAGCAGAGCCATCTGGATGGGGTCAGAGGTAGGTGTGGGGTTCCCCTGTGCTTGGGATAGCCCCACACCTGACATCGCATTGGGTCTGAAGAGAGGTCAAAGACACGGAGAGGAGTTAGGAGGTATCTGCCTGGTGTCTGTCATGTGTTAGGAAATCGCGGGGCTCCTTCGCAGATGACTTTTGAGTGTTTCCTGCTTTTATTTGAAAATGTCAAGCTTTCAGCAAAGCAGCTCCTGAGTCCACACAGTGTACAATGGAGTCACCTTTCTCTACCCCTAAGTGACCTTGACCTTGCACAAAGAATTACCCATCACATTCTAAAAGACCACTGCTGTGCCCGTGGTGGCAAGAGCTGTCTCCTTCTTGTCTTAGTTTCCTGAGAAGAAAAAGCTAATCCATGGCCTTATGCAAATGAGCAGAAAGCACCCAAGAGTCAGCCAGATATAATTGATTATTCAGCTTTTCCTTGTACCTGAGAAGTGGCAGGGTGACTCTGGCCATCTGCTGAAAACAGGGACTACCTAAGGTTTGGGACAAACAGGAAGTAGCGTTCAGCCAGAAGCTTATTCCAACCTGGCAACAAACCTGATCATAAAGGAGAGCTGCCGGAGAGGTATTTGCATGCCCAATAAGGTTTCACTACCAAAGTTTACACAACGCACAGTAATCAGCCAGGCTGGCTGACTCCCTGGATCACATGACCTCGTAGAAACAAGAAACTTGGCGATGCGCTCCAGCGAGTTTTACTTCCCCTGTGCAGGGGTGTTTGCCAGCAGCCTGTGGTTGCTCTCAGAAGTCAGTTCCAGTGGCTTGAGCTCTTGAGACCAGAGCCTTACCATGCTGCTCCCCAGGAAGCCCAGGAGCTGCTGACATCCCCCTGGACAGCAACTCACATCCCCTCTCAAGAAAAATGGACAAACTGAATAAGATAACTGTCCCTGCCAGCCAGAAGCTGAGGTAAGATTTTCCCTTCAGATCCTTATTCCTCTTCTTTCCCCTCTAGGGCTGCTCCAGTACTCAGAGGCACCAAAACCATGGAATACTTGACCAGTTCCAATTGGTTAGCAATGGCTATAGGGAAGTAGATCGGGTTTTTAAAGAAATGTGTAGGAAGAGTGAAGGGACCTGCTTTGGCTGGTTTTTGCCAGGGATAAGACAAAGAGTGAAGCTCTGGGAAGGCAAGAAGATAGAAAATTTGATGGCCCACATGCTACCAACAGCCAACTTTCTGAGTCTCAGTAAGACGCTGCTGAGGAAGAGCTTATCCACTGTGTGAAGAGTGTGTGTAGTCACTGTCTCATTTGTTTCCTGGGTGTTCATCCTAAGTTTATTGGGGGAACTACATGTCTTTCCAATACCCTCAGGATTAGCTATTTTAAAACATGCTTAATGGCCAGTCAGACGGCTCATGAAATAGAGTGCTGACTGTGCAGGCCCGATGACCTAAGCCCCATTGCCAGCAACCCAGATAAAAATGAAAAGAGAAAAGCAACTCCACAGAGCTGTCCTTTGACTCCACACTCACTGCCTGGCACACGAACGCCTTGACACATCATGCCCACATACATTTCACACACGCGCGCACACACACGCTAATAATAACAACAACTGTTTTAAAAACAGCTTTGGCAATTTAAAAAATATATTAGTAAGAAAGAATCAGACAGCAGTGGCCTAAGGCATAGGTCAAGAGACTACGCAAAGAATCCTTCCCAATTTTTGAGCATGAAGAGCTTTGACTTTTTGTGGTGCCGATGACTTTCAGAGGCTGGAAAGTTTCAAATGTTTAAGGGTGTGTTATATTCCATGTGCATATTGGAACTTTGGACTTTCATGAGGTCATACTTTGGAGCTGGAGAGCTGGAGATTCTGAGACAAATGATGAGAAAAGAACATGGAGTTGGTAGAAGGACAGACTTTCATAGCAGCACATGGGTCTTCTCACTCTGAGGGGTTTGGTAAGAGGCAGACTGAGATGTACTAAGGGGTCCAGACCAGTGGGCAGCATCAGCTGGTCAGCCATTTTATAGAGTCTGCCCAGGAGAGCCACAGAGCCCTTAACATGGTCAGAAGGTCCCACAGGCACCCACATCTTTTGCTGTGCATCTCACGGAAGGGAGAGGTGGAGCGGAAACATAGGAAATAATATAAGAGGACTGGAGTAGCAGAGATATCTTCAAGAAGGTGGTGTTTCAAGTTAAGCTTTTGAGAGGCAGCTGAGATAAAATGGATGGAGAACTGGGGGAATGGTTACATGTGGAGGAGGCTGTGACCTCACATGTATAGGCTGGTGTGAGTGCAGTCTCAAATGTGGGCTAGTGAGGAAAGTTCTGTCCGGCAGAGGCTACGGAGTGAAACGTATGGGGTGAGAGGGCCTTGGGAAATTGGTCCTGTCTGGTGGGGCCAGCTGGAAAAGAGCATGTGTGGGGGTCTAACCATACAGAGTTGGGCAGCGGCTGTGCTGTTAGAGATTGAACAGGATGGATTGCATGGGGAGGCTGAAGGCACAGATTCTGGGGGTGCTGGGAACGTAAGGATCCCAAGCATCCAGAGTTACAGGCACAGCAGTGAGACAGGACAAGCAGGGAGAAGTCAGAAGACCTGGCAGAGAACTGACAAGGCCTTGTGTCGGGGCTGCTCTGAGCAGAGGTCCCAACGGTCCCTAACCTAAAGCCGCCCAAAGGCTCGGAATGTGCTCCAGGGAACCTAGATGAGAATCAAAAGGAAGAGAGCAATAGAATTTTAATCACTTTATGGCCCCTCCCCCTGGGGCGAAGTCCAGTCTAATCATGGAGTGGGCGGTGGGCATTATGTAATTATATTATAGGCTAGAAGGCCAAAATTAGATTGCAGATAATCACATGCTATGCCCATCTGCTGAGAGCAAAGCAACATTTTTCCACACTTGGTTACTAAGTTGTCTGCACAGACTCAGCCCTCTTTTATGAAACGTGCAGTCAGCGTGGACCTTTGCACAGAAATGACTATAAACAAAACAACTCAAAACATCACCTAAAATATTTTTATGTGACACGGTGAGAAGTGTCAGGTAGGGGTTGGGCAGCAGTCACGCTTTAGAGAGGGAACAAGATGGATTGCATAAGGGAAGCTGAAGGCACAGATTCTGGGGGTACTGAGAATGTAAGGATCCCAAGCATCTAGAGTTACAGGCACCACAGTGCAAAGGTAGATTGTGTGTCCTCTCCTGACTGGTCAATAGCACTTGAGAAGGTTGCCCAGAGAGATACTTGGCTCCAGATTGCAATGTAAATGCAGAATAACGTTTGGATTCTTTCAAACTCATCAAATCTTATAGAGGAATGTGATCAAAGCAAAGTCAAACAAACAGCTGTGATACAACAAAACCATACAGTGAGTATTCTACTCACAAAAGGTGCTCAGTGGGATGACTGGGACCCAGGGGCTGCATGTCCAGGTCTGGAGAGAGACTGAGAGCAGAAGGGATAAGTAGGAAGAGAAGCAGAATGAACCAAGGAAGCAAAGACAGGCAGGATTGGGGTTTGTAGGGGATCCTCAGAGTGAAGGATGGAAGTCTCCTAAGGCACCCCAGGACGTGCTCACTTTCATGGACAGATCTCCCATGTACCGGAACTGAGACAGTAGAGATGACCAGGAGTGTGTGGGGCCATGTCTTTGTTAACATACATTCCCAGACTTTCATTCCTTTGTACTTGGGTCTTAGCCATGATTTCCCTTTGAGTTTTAGAAGGTAGAGACATCATCACAAACTTGTCCGAGACGTAGGTTCTCAATTCTTCAACATCAAACATCCCTAGGAGGACACAAGTCATGTGACTGCGTAAGCATTTGGGAATCTACAGTCCTGAAGAGCTGGCAGTCGTCCTCTTCTGCTTACTATTACTAACCTGAAAATGAAACTTTGCTTTTTAAACAGCTTCCCCACTGGCGGATCATTTGTGCTAGTGTATTTCCCTCTGTAGCACACATGAACACAGACCCATTTGTTTGTATCCGTGGAGAATGACTGACGTAAGGCTGGTCATGCCATGCTTCATCGATCTGTCTTATTGGTTAGAGGATATAGTATTGTTTTTGGAGAGACAAATCAAGGATTTTTATGACATTAGTGTACTTAATTTCTTTGGCCCCAGTTTCTTGACCTGTAAGACGACAAATGTTATAATAACAGCATCAATGCCATAGAGCTACTGTGGCAATTAAATTAATTGTCCCATGAAGCAACTGACATCATGACCTTGGCAACATAATTACCGAGCATTTAAAAAATAATAGTTATTAATGTAGCCATCATAATCATTCTTATTAATTTTGTAGCTTGCAATTGACTTTCTGGACATAAACAGAAGGCTTTCTGCTGGCCCTGGGCATATCTCCTCTTGGTTTCATTTCTCCTTTCTATTTAGGACATTTTTGTTGTTGAGTCTGGCATCTGCAGCATTTAGCTTTGCATGGATTGTAGATACGACACACATGTCTCTCAGGCCTTGTCTAAGTGGCCACTGAAACTGCTCAGGACAGAAGGCTCTGTCACAGGTGTCCAGGCCTTGATGGCTAGAGACTTACCTTGAGATTTTCTCTGACAGTGCTCTCTCTTCATGTCCTGAAATTTTCCATTAGGGTTTTCAGTTCCTTGACTTTCCACATTAAGTTCTTTAGAAACCAATTCAGCTTTCTTTCACGCTTCCGCCCCTACCTCCCTCCTCCCGGGCCCTCCCAGTTTCTGACAATGGTTTCGTGAGCAGCCCTAATTCTGACTCATCCTCCCTGCACTGCACTCATGCCTACTCACCTGCCACACCCTGCGATCTTCCTTTATTTCACTTCTATCTGTGTTCTCCTCTTCCACACCATTCGAGGAAGGTCCTCAGCATCTCATGTTTCCCATAGTGTCTGCTCTACACCCCTCCTCAAAACAGGTGGTTTGGGCTAAACAACTCCCAAAGCTCTCTGTAGCCCTGAGCTCTGTGACCCTGACACACACCTTACATTTTTTTTCTAAGCTACTGTGTCCTTTCTTGAGCCTCGAGAAATACTTCTGATGTATTCAGAAGAAGGATGGGGCTGACTCCAAAAGTCTGGTTTCAATTGCCAGCCTCAGGTTCTAAAGAAGTGAGTCTCCTCTCGAGTATGGAAAGAACGGGCTAAGGCGATGCGGGGCTGGTCTCACACTCTCCATCCTTTCATGTCTTCTCAGTCACAAAGGCAACTCTCCAGCAGTGTTTTTGAGACACAGATTTGCAGGGATCCTCCTCCCTCAGTCAGTGTGGCACCCCCAAGGCTATCTTCCTCATGAGCACCCATCAGGCAATATGAGTAGATTTTGAGAGTGCAATTTTTTTTTCTGTTAAGAGTTTATAAATCAATTATAAATCAATTCCATATTCCCCCCCCCCAATAAAATGACTCTTTGTCTTTGATCTTATCACAGTCTCTGGAAATGGTTTATCTGATTTTAGGTGAACGATCCAGGCCTACCTTGTATTAAGTGGGGTGTTCAAGGCTGATGACTAATCCTAGGTCCTGCCTCTGAACTCAGGGAGCTTCAAGGCTCCTGGCCTCTGTAAACTGAGTCTCAGCCTGATCCCCTGGAATGTCACAGGTGCCTCTCTCAGACACCTGTGACCCTGGGCTTATGGTTATACCCGAGTGGCTCCTCCTTATTTTTCTGTATTTCCCCCTTTTCATTCTGACAAAATGCATGCAACATAAAAGTCACCATCTGAGCCCTTCTTGAGTGCATCTGTGCAACTGCCATCACTATCTGTTCCCAGGACTCTTTGGTTTTCAAAACTGGAACTCTGTACTCACCAAGCAGTAGGCTCCCACTGCCCTCCCACTTGGAAACAACAGTACTTTATGTCTCCTCTGAGAACCGTAGATACCTGGAATCATGCCCTCTTTGTCTTTCTGTGCTCAGCTTACTTTGCTTAGTTTAATGCTCAAGGTTCATAATG